TTGCAACGGGGCCTCCAATAGCCCCCAGCACTGTATACGGCAAGCCAGAGGCCTCTCTCCTCTCCCTCCACATTTTCATTCTGCCCTTCCTTCAAAGCCCACAGAGAGAGCCCCTCCGGTTTTGATCCTGCAGTCGGTCCAACAGGAAGAGATGGACTGGCCCAGTGTGAGCTCGCTCACAGTTTCTTAGCTTCCGGCTCACACATTTTTGTCTTGGCTCAGGAAGGACAGCTCCAGAGCAAACTAACTGATGCAGTGGCCAAATCGCTGGCCCACAGCTTTAATGTCAATAGCTCACCAAGTAGAATTCTTGCTCACAAGAGTCCACAGCTTAGAGGGAGGGAGCACTGGCCCAAGCTCACCCAATGAGCTTCACGGTTTGGGGGGGGGGACAGCTAGTTTGGGGTCCAGTGACACCTTAAGAGGAGGAGGAGGAAGAGGAGGAGAAGGAGGAGAAGAAGGAGGAGAAGAAGGAGGAGGAGAAGAAGGAGGAGGAGAAGAAGGAGGAGGAGAAGAAGGAGGAGCTTTCCCTTCCCCTCCCCACAACAGACACCCTGTGAGGTGGGTGGGGCTGAGAGAGCTCTGACACAAACTGCTCTTTTTCAAGGACAGCTGTGCCAGAGCTTGTGACTGACCCAAGGTCATGCAGCCAGGTGCAAGTGGAGGAGTGGGGAATCAAACCCGGTTCTCCCAGATTAGAGTCCGCACACTTAACCACTACACCAAACTGGCTCTTGAGATCTCAAGAGTCAGTGCTCCCTTTGTCTGAGCAGGAATTCGAACAGGCGACTTGGAATCCCTTGTCTGGGTCTGTAACCACCATTCCCTCCTGGCCGTGAACTAAGGGTGCCCAGCCCTGGCCCAGCTTTAGGAGCTGAGGGCGGCGGGGGAGATTCCTGCAAGCCGGACTTCACTGGGCACCGGCCCAGAGGAACGCTCCCCTTTGGAGCATTCAAAAACTTCCAAGGAGGCCCCAGGCCTGCCGGCCACAGCAACAGGCCTTCCCTCCTCGGGAGAGCTCACCATCTAGCCGCCAGTTTCAACATTCAGGAAATTCCTTCATCTGCAGTGTCACTGCAAAAATAAGCACTTGCAGCATTCCACGACACCCCCCCCAAAAAACCCTGCATTTATAAATACCAGTTACCTCACAGCAGCTTCAGACAACCCCACCCTGCAAACACACACAAACACACACATTGCAACACCTCCTTCAAGCCCACCCACACCATGCAAGGCATAAAAAGGCAGAGGAAGGAGCCGAGCTGGCAGGAGAGGCGAGGCCATGCGAGGCAGGGAGGGCTGGGGGGAAACACCTCCTCAGAACCCTCGGACCCCCCCCCCCCCAAGGCTGCAAGAGCCCCACAGAGTTTCTCAAGCCTGGCTCCAAGGCCGAGGAGGAAGTTTGCTTCAGTTATCCCCCCCACCCCCACAACAAAACAGCTGAAGGGGCCTGCTGAGGGCTCATCTCCCATCACCACAGTGACAGCAAGGAGGGGGGGGAGTTACATTATTAGACCCCCACCTTTCTCCCTAATGGCGCCCTAAACCAGCGGAAATCATTCTCCTCTCTTCCGCTTGATCCTAAGAACATCAAAGAAGCCCGTGTTGGATCAGGCCAACCGCCCCTCCAGTCCAACACTCTGAGTCACACAGTGGCCAAGAATACCCGGGGCCATCAGGAGGTCCACCAGTGGGGCCAGGAGGACACCAGAAGCCCTCCCACTGTTGCCCCCCCCCCCCCAAGCACCAAGAATACAGAGCATCCCTTGCCCCAGACATAAGAACATGAGAGATGCCAATGTTGGATCAGGCCAATGGCCCATCCAGTCCAACAGTCTGGGTCACACAGTGGCCAGAAATATCAGGTGCCATCAGGAGGTCCAGCAGTGGGGCTGGGACACTAGGAGCCCTCCCACTGTTGCCCCCCCCAAGCACCAAGAAGACAGAGCATCACTTGCCCCAGAGCCCCTATCTATACCTTGTGGCTAAAGGCCACTGATGGACCTCTGCTCCATCCCCACAACAACCCTGGGAGGTAGGCTTGGCTGAGAGAGTATGACTGGCCCAAGGTCACCCAGCAACTAGGCAACAAGTCCCTCTGTTTCCCCCGCAGCATGCAGCCCAGGCCACTCACCCACATCACCAGGAGCCCTTTGTGGGGCAGAGGCTTTGAAGACGCACACCGTGCTCTCGCATGCCTCCTGCGCATGGCATAGGTAAACGTATCCCTTGTTCGAAAACTAGTTGAATCCAACTCTAGAGTGCGGTGCTCATCACCGTTTCCACGGTCATGTGGCCAGCATGACTAGACGCTGAAGCGTATGGAACGCTGCTGCCTTCCCACCGAAGCGGTACCCATTTATCTACTTGCAACTTTGTGCTTTGTGTGACACTCGGGTCTCGAACTACCAAACTACAGACCTTCCAGTCTGCCGCTCAGCGTCTTAACCTCTGAGCCACCACGGTGCGCAGGGCATAGCATAGACAAAAAATAACAAGAAGTGAATCCTGTGGTGACCCACTTCACCAGGAGCCCTTTGTGGGGCAGAGGCTTTGAAGACGCACACCGTGCTCTCGCATGCCTCCTGCGTACGGCATAGGTAAACGTATCCCTTGCTCAAAAACTAGTTGAATCCAACTCTAGGGTGCGGTGCTCATCACCGTTTCCAGGCTGAAGAGCCAGCGTTGTCCAAAGACGTTTCCACGTTCATGTGGCCAGCATGACTAGACGCTGAAGCGTATGGAACGCTGCTGCCTTCCCACCGAAGCGGTACCCATTTATCTACTTGCAACTTTGTGCTTTGTGTGACACTCGGGTCTCGAACTACCAAACTACAGACCTTCCAGTCTGCCGCTCAGCGTCTTAACCTCTGAGCCACCACGGTGCGCAGGGCATAGCATAGACAAAAAATAACAAGAAGTGAATCCTGTGGTGCATATTAGGTGTGTACACCTTAAAGTGAGCCCTCAAAAGCTACAGAGCAAAGCTTGAGTCCAGGTGGCACCTGGAGAGCCAGTTTGGTGTCGTGGTGGTTAAGTGTGCGGACTCCAATCTGGGAGAACCGGGTTTGATGATTCCCCTCTCCTCCACTTGCAGCTGCTGGGGTGACCTTGGGGTCCGTCACAAGTTCTCTCAGAGCAGTCCTTAAAAAAGAGCAGTCCTCGAAAGAGCTCTCTCAGCCCCACCTGCCTCACAGGGTGCCTGTTGTGGGGAGGGGAAGGGAAAGGAGTTTGTGAGCCGCTCTGAGACACCTTTGGGTAGTGAAGGGCCATGGGGTATAAATCCAATCTCTTCTTCTTCATCATCTTCAAGACCAACTAAGTTTAACTCTGGGTCGAAGCTTTGATGGGCATGCAGACGAAAGCTTATACCCCGAATTCGTTGCTCTCAAGGGTGCCACTGGACTCAAGCTTTGCTCTGTTGCTTCCGTCCAACACGGCTACCCACCTGAACCCAGCCTTGAGAGCCAGTTTCCTTTCCCCCTTTCATTCTCCTCCAGCGTGATCCACTTGGGCAGCCAGCCACGAACCGGGGGAGCCAATCCAAAGGACAGGTCGGCTCGAAGATGCTGCCCAGTATTCTCACAGCCCAACTCTGCTCGCGCCTTCGCTCAGTTCAAGGGCAGAGCAGGAAGGCCGGAGGCACCCTCACCTGTGGGGGCCCATCAGTCCTCCAGCCTTGGAAAAAAACACACTCTGCCACGGAAGCTGGCTGCGTTTCCCTGGGGGGGGGGGGACACACCCCGCCCCCACCCAGGGACGCTGTCAGGATAAAATATGGGATGGAGAACAATGTTGTGATCCGCTTTCTGTCCCCGTTGAGGAGGAAAGCAAGAAACAAATGTGAATATTTATCCTGCACCACTGGAGGTATCGTCCTCCTTTGACTGCCGGGTCCTCTACCTTTGCAACCCACTTCCTGCCTTCATAGCCTCCCTGGGACCATTTGCCCTCCACAGTGCTCCCAATCCCAGTCCCCCCCCCCAATGCCTTTATTCACTGGATGTCTCACGCCGCCCGATCACATGGCTTCTGTACTCTGTGATCCACCTCCTGTCTCAGGGAGGAAGACAGGCTATAAATAAAGTAGATGAATAAATAAACAAAACAGGTTCTCCTGCTCCCAGTGGGCGCACCCCCCCCCTTTCTACTGCTGCCACACCGACATCATCTTCTGAGGGAGCCACTGCGGAGGTTTGGGGGCTTCAGCCAAAAAGATTTCGCCAAGAGAAAAGGAGGAGACGGGATTTATACCCCATGGCCCTTCACTACCCAAAGGTCTCTCAGAGCGGCTCACAAACTCCTTTCCCTTCCCCTCCCCACAACAGACACCCTGTGAGGTGGGTGGGGCTGAGGGAGCTCTTTTGAGGACTGCCCTTGAGAGAACAGCTCTGACAGAACTACGGCTTGTCCAAGATCATCCAGCAGGTGCAAGTGGAGGAAGAAGAAGAAGAGATTGGATTTATCCCAATCTCCTTTCCCTCCCCCTCCCCACAACAGACACCCTGTGAGGTAGGTGGGGCTGAGAGAGCTCTGACAGAAAGGGCTCTTTTCCAAGGACAGCTCTGACAGAACTGTGGCTTGCCCAAGGTCATCCAGCCAGGTGCAAGTGGAGGAGTGGGGAATCAAAACCGGGTCTCCCAGATTAGAGTCCGCACACTTAACCACTACACCAAACTGGCTCTCTGGATGTAACAGTACAGATGTGAAAAATTAACCTTAAAAAGATCACCGTGGGTGATTTCTTCGGAGGGGGGTCTTCTACACCCCTTATCGAACTCAGCCGGGAATCTCTGCCACTCCTCAGGCTCCCACTGGGCATGGCCAATCCACAACCTGGCCGGGGGGGGGCCCTCCCGCCACTCCCCAAGGCACCCCCAGAGACATTCAAGTTGACACTTCCATTGATTTACCGGGGGGGGCCCCCCGCCACTCCCCAAGGCGCCCCCAGAGATGCCCCAGCCTCCGGGCAGCCTGTGGCCGCTCGTGCCCCTCACCACGCAGGGCACTGCCAGAGACCTCTGGGGCCAGCCGGGGCCAGAGATCCAGAGGGCGGCCGGGCCCTAATGCTTCCGCAGGAAGGAAACCTTCTTGCGCCTCACAGTTGTGGCTCCGGACACGCTCCAGCTCCATTACTGCACGTGGTGGAGAGGGATGCTCACAAACTCCCCTCACACAATTTACGAATACTTTGCTCCCAAACCCTAACCCTAACCCTAACCCTAACCCTAGACTGCTATCCCAAGAGCAGCCCAAAGCTCCCCACGCACAGACCTCAAACACAAATCCCCATTTCTGGCGGGAAGTCACCGAATGTAGAACGTCTCCAGTGCCTTCGTTAAATGCCTGCGCGAGGACATTATCGTCGCCATGAATATTAGTCGATTCATCATGCAAGGGAAACAGTTTGGCACGACTGTACGCAAGACAAGGCCAGGGCTACAGTCCCGCACCTCCGAGCCCAGTCACCCAAACAGCCGCTGGGCCAAAACCCACAGCCAACTCCCCCCCCCACACACAAGACCACCACCCCTGCCCCCCCCAGCAGAACAGCTGCCTCCGCCAGAGCCCCTCCCCTTGGGCTCTCAAACAGGGCAGGAGTTATTGGACACCAGCAAAGGCCACTCGCCCAGCTACTCCCTAGGCTTACCTCCACGATAACTTTAAAACTTCCCCCTGCCCTTTTTCACATGCAGTGCTTAAGACCAGTGTTCCCTCTAAGCTGAGTCAGTGTGAGCTAGCTCACAGCTTTTTAGCCTCCAGCTCACACGTTTTTGTCTTCGCCCAGGGAGGAGGGCTCCAGAGCAAACTAATTGATGCAGCAGCCAAATGGCTCACTCACACTTTTAATGCCAGGAGCTCACAAAGCAGAATTTTTGCTCACAAGACTCCATGGCTTAGAGGGAGCATTGGCTAAGACCCCTTCAACAAGAGGCTTTTGACCTTTTCCTCCCCCCCGACACCGTTCCCCCACCATCACCCACTCCCCTTCAGCTCCCACAAGGGAAACGTTAAAGCAGCTCTGCGTGGACAGGACAGCCGGACACTTCTGCCAGGTGACTTCTTCTCGGCAGACCCGAGACCCACCCACCCCCATGGCAACGGCCCTGCCAGACAGAATCTGTTTCCTCTTTGGAGCTCGTGAGCCCAAGGAGGGAAACGACCAAGCCCACATCGGCCACAGCAACACCATCCATTGGGTCCCTCATGTGGGAGGGGGACGACAGAGTGTGCCCAATTTATGCCCAGAAGCCACCCGTTCACTGCAACAGCATCAGGACTCTCAACGCTTGTGCCTCTGCCCACCGAAGAACACGGACGTCCCTCTGCCTGGCCTCCACAGTGAAGCCTGCCCACCCGCGCCTCCCCTTGAGATCCTCTCCTTCTGTGGATCTGGGCGGTTCTGTGACAACCCAGGAGAGGGGGAGGCGTCAAGGAGAACCAAAGGGCACAATGGACTCCTCCACTCCAGGCGGTCTGGGTCCATTTGGCTTTGGCAGCAGCACGCTTGGAAAGAAGTGAGGAGACCTTGCCCAAATCGCCAAAGCCAAATGGACCCAGACTGCCTGGAGTGGAGGAGTCCATTGTGCCCTATATAGGATTGGTTCCTGAGGAAAGACCAGAGGTCTGAAACACTTAAATATCCGGAAAAAGTGTTGGAAACAGAGACACAGATTGACTGAATTTGAAGCAGACTGCTTTTGAGAATACAGGACTGTTAGAGGGATACAGATTGAGAGAGTCTGGAGCAGACTGCTATCCGAAATCTTATTGACCTTTGTATTTTTTCTATGAAGGAATAAGTGGTTGTTTTTTATTACCAGACACTAAATGGTTATGGCTTTAGAAGAGAAGAGGAGAAGAGATTGGATTTATACTCCGCACTTCACTATCCAAAGGTCTCTCAGAGCAGCTGACAAACTCCTCTCCCTTCCCCTCCCCACAACAGACACCCTGTGGGGTAGGCGGGGCTGAGAGAGGTCTGACAGAAACGGCTCTTTTTCAAGGACAGCTCTTGTCAGAACTATGGCTTGCCCAAGGTCATCCAGCCAGGTGCAAGTGGAGGAGTGGGGAACCAAACCCGGTTCTCCCAGATTAGAGTTTGCACACTTAACCACGACACCAAACTGGCTTTAGTCTCTTTTGTTATTGTATTGTTCTGTGGGCATCTAGCACACATCTGTATATTTTTTTCATACCAGATCCCAGCTCTGAACAGACCTTTACATAAAAACTCCCACCTCTTTGTTCACTTTGTTCTCTTCCCAACAGGGACCCAAAGTGGCCTGCGTCACCCTCCTCTCCTGTTTTCTCCACACAGCAACCCTGGGAGATCAGCTAGGCTGAGAGTATGACCGGCCCAAGGCCACCCACCCACTTTCCAGGGCAGTGCAGGGATTCGAACTAGGGTCTCCCGAATCCTAGTCCAATACCACACTGCCTCTCAAAGCCAGGAAGTTCGAATGGCAGCATAAAAGATCCCCCCCCACTCCCACCCCTGTTACTGTTCTAGTTTTCTGTGTCAAAACTTCCGTGCAAATAGAGGAACGTTCCAAAAGATGATGTGTCACCAGCAGCCCGAAGCGATGCAGGCAGCGCTCTCACCTCATTTCCGAACTAGCTCTAAATGAGGAAGGAATGCGGGGGGGGGAGAGGCACTTTCTACTGTTGATGCCAACTGGCATCTTTCTGCAAAAACAACACCAGGAATACAGGTGGGCTACAGAAGAGACCCCTAGCTGGGCTGGAGCTGCCGCTCAAAGGCAGAGCTTCCACTTGGCAGGCAGAAGGTTCCAAGTTCAGAGCCCCCCCCCGCCCCCCCCATCCCCACTGAAAAGGATCCGGGAGGTGACGTGAGCAGACCTCCCTCCGCAGAGGATAGTCCCGATGACCTTGAAAGGGTGCGACTCAGGAGAAAGCAGCTCCATGTGCCGTGATGAATAAATAATTCAGAGAGAGAGGCAGAGAAACATATTATATAATATTTTAAGTAGACAAATATTTAAATATTTAAAGAAACATAAATATTTTACAACATAATCCTAATCCTGATGGGTTTAGTCTGGAGTAACCCTGCACTGGATTGCCCCGTTAGCGTCCCTTCGGAGGGTGCACGAAAGCTCTCTCTAGCTCAGGGGTGTCAAACATGCGGCCTGGGGGCCAGAGCAGGCCCCCAGAGGGCTTTGTCAGGTGCGCAGTGGGACCGGTTGTCTTCTGCTGCTTCTTCCAGTTCTGCTGCTGCTGCGTCATCGTAGGTTTGCAGCTTACAGGTACACACCTGAGCAGCACACTCAAGATTGCAACAGCACAGACATTTTGATGCAATCATTCAGCGCTAGAGGTGTCAGTTATCAGACACTTTTAAATAAACAAAATACTGCAAGAGTGCTAATGTTTTAAATGTGTTTTTATTTTAAGTAAGAAAAACCCCTCCTTTGTGTTTGTGTCCTTTATAAAGTTTATATCTCCGCTACCTGGCATTACATTTTATGAGACACATGGCCCGGCCCGAAAAGGTCTCATTTATGTCAGATCTGGCCCTCGTAACAAATGAGTTCGACACCCCTGCTCTAGCCAGCCTGAAATAGGTAAGCAGGAGCAGCCCTGGTCAGTATTTAGACGGGAGGCCGCCAAGGGAGCCCAGTGTCGCTGTGCAGAGGCAGGCACTCTGCTCGTCTCTTGCCTGGAAACCCCTCCGGGATCGCCCTGAGTCGGCTGCGACTTGACAGCTCATTCCACAGCACAATTTAAAGGGAAACCGTTCAATGCCCAAAGGCAAAGCGAGCCCTCAAGTCACAAGTTGACTTGAGACAGTTCGGTGGAGTGGCTAAGTGCGTAGACTCTAACCTGGGAGAACCGGGTTTGATCCCCCACTCCTCCACTTGCAGCTGCCGGATGACCTTGGGCAAGCCACAGTTCTGGCACAGCTGTCCTTGAAAAAGAGCAGCCGTGGGGCTGCCCCCCAAAAGGCTCTCTTCTTCCGTGTCCACCAAACAAGCTTCTTTGGCCTGTGCTCTGAATTCCCAGGCAGGAATACAGGGGAGAAGACGGCCCTCCCTCCAGATACCCTGGCCCCAAGCTGGGTGGGGCTTTAAAGGGCAAAACCAACACCTTGAATTGGGCTCAGGAGTGACTCAGTAGCCAGCATTACTTGCTGTACTATCAGGAACAGGTGCTCCCGATAGCTGGCCCCAACCAGCAGTCCAGCCACACCATTCTGTCCTAGCTGCTGCTTCCAAGCACTCTTCAAGGGTAGCCCCAAGTAGAGCTCATTGCAGTAGTCCAGTCTAGATGTAACTAAGGCATGGATCACTGCGACTCGATCTGGCTGTACCAGAAACGTAAGCAGATGATGCACCCGCTGAAGCTGGGCAAAAGCACTCCGAACTGTCACAGCCGCCTGGTTTTCAACGGTGACTGCTGTGCCAAGCAGCACTCCCAAGCTGTGAACCTGGCTTCTCAAGGGAAGCATAAACCTCCATGCAGCGAGGTTTGCAGAACTAAAGCAGACTCTCACCAGAGGCAGCCTCCACTGACCAAAGGCAGAAAAGCCCCTTGCCCAATCCAGAGTCAGCTTGAGTTCTTCCTCGAAGCTAGACAACAGCCTTCTTGCCCCGACTGAGACATCCACAGCCCCAGCAATCACAAACACTCATGAAGCGGCCTTCTACTGAACCAGACCCCTAGGTCCATCAAAGTCAGTACCGCCTACTCAGACCGGCAGTGGCTCTCCAGAGTCTCAGGCAGAGGTCTTTCCCATCACCAACTGCCTGGTCCTTTGTAACTGGAGATGCCGGGGATTGAACCTGGGACCTTCTGCATGCCAAGCAGAGGCTCTTCCACTGAGCCACAGCCCCTCTTTACGGCTCTCCAGGGTCTCAGGTGGAGGTCTTTCCCATTACCTACAGCCTGGTCCTTTTTAACTGGAGGTGCTGCTGGGGATTGAACCTGGGGCTTCCTGCATGCCAAGCAGAGGCTCTACCACTGAGCCACGGCCCCTCTTTACAGCTCTCCAGGGTCTCAGGCAGAGGTCTTTCCCATCACCTCCTGCCTGGTCCTTTTTACTGGAGATGCCGGGGATTGAACCTGGGACCTCCTGCCTGCCAAGCAGAGGCTCTTCCACTGAGCCACGG